ATATAGATAGTAAACGTCAAGAAAAGACAATATACATGTTTATACATCGGCTGATAAAATAGAAACAAATATATATATATACTTTCTTATATACGGATTAAGAGCTGTATGGTAACGAAAAGTAGGTTTTTCTGTTCAGTTCTGGAGTTTAATAATTAAGTTATAATTTCCCTAGCTTTTGAATTGTTGAAGATAAGATACTAAACTAATATATATTCTTTAAAAAAAATTAATAATAAACAACTTTTTTCTTCATGACTTTTTCATAAAATGAAAAGATAAAGATTCAAATAATGATAAAAATGCGAAGCAAAAAAAGTTTTTTTTCGAAGTTAGTGAATTATGAGGACCGATATCACGGAAACTATAGAATACAGAGAAACAAGTAATATAAACATTTTTTTTTTTTTCATAGCCACTTATTATTTATTTTGTCTTGATTCCTTGCATTTTTATTGTCTTCATAATAGTCCTTTTACTACTTCAAAGCATTGTAAGGTGTATTTTTTTGTCGTTTCTATTAAAAATTGTAATAGCGTAAATTCAATTTTTCGACTTGAAATCCACGGGTATGGAGTATAGGAACTATGGTAGGAGTAACTGACTACTGTTTCATCTTTTCTACTATTTTGATATTTGATATTTGATGCTATTCTATTTTCACTACTACTATCTTTTTTTCCCAATTTTCGAATTATACGTATCCTGGAACGTAAAACCTCAAATTTTGAGAGGGGCTAACTTTTTTAATATTTTGGTCGATTATAACGGTTCATTATGGAAAATGATAAACAAAAAAAAAAAAATAACTAGAACTTCTTAATATTATTTACAGATATGATACTGAACGGGTATATTGTCTCCAAACTCAGACCGAATTGAAAAGGTATTAGTTGAGAGCGCCTTTTTGATATTATACTAATTACCATCTTAAATAATGGATTAACACATTTCATGTCATAATTTCAATCTTAATTTTTGGACTTTTGTCCCGCTATATTTGCAATCCTCCCCACTGTGCCACGGGCCTCCAAAATCACACTGTAGTTTAAATTTCATCATAAAATTGTATTAATTTTATGTCAACATTATTTGACATTTCAGGAAGCGGTATTAGAAAAAAGAAGAATTATTATTAGATTTGACCGGTACATAAACCTCTTTTCAAAATGAGGGTATAAGGCACTATTTAATCCAATTTAATTATTGTAAAGAGGTCGTGGCATTGACTCTGTTCTAGAATTATTTGATTAGATTAAATGTTATCATGAATATGAATTATCACAAAATAGTGCTTTGAAGAAAAATTAATCATGATTGTATTCCTTAAATTTCAAGGAATACATGAATAAAAACATCGGTCAAGATGTAGATCTACATAGTTGCTACAAACAACAAAGTATGAAATTAGAAAAGAACGATAAATTATTGTTGTTGTCGAACGATTGAAGTAATGAAAAATAAAGTAGATAAATATTTACAATGAATGATTTACATCTGTATGTTAATATGTTCAAATGAATACTTGCAATAGTATTCTAAACATTAGAGAAGTCTTATATATTCTATATCCTAAGATGTAGATTGGTAGGAGAAAACAACATATAGAGGAGTGCGTTCAATATTAGTTAAAAATTAAATACATCTCAAAGACTTAAAATCGTATAAATAAATAAAAAATTCTCAGATAAAAAGGATTGAAAATCTTTTTTTTTAACTCATAAAAGAAAAAATATATATAAATGATGTTTAGAGAAAATTAAAACCTTGTTACATAAAAAATAAGTATCCAGCGTCTGATTGGATTGTAAGGAGGATTTGGAATAAGAGAGTTTTAAATATGGATAAGGATAATACATGGCGAATTTTGAGTGGGATGGAATTCCAAAAAGTGATGGAGCGGACAATAAAGGAGTGTCAAATAAGGAAGATTTGTGGAAAAGGGTATAAAGATCAGAACGGCGAGATCCTTTGGATAGATGACTTGAATTGAAGGAGATTGTATGCGTAGAACGGGCGATGATTATAGATTATTTGGTCAGGGGGCGGGGTGGCCGAATGAGCTAAAGCGTGTGCACTGCACACAGTACTGCAGTTGCCTGGCAACCAGATAAGAGATTTGAGAAGATTAAAAAAGTATGAGTTCGCATCCCGGTGCCGGAATTCCTCGCTCCCCGCCTCAGTCGAGGTAGGCAAGAACAAACAAAAAAAAAAAAATTATTTGGTTAAAGGAATGTGCCTTGGAAATATTGTCTTCTGAAGGAAAAGAAGAGTCACCCTAACTCAGTGTATTAGTCGGAAACACGAGAACGTCTTATAGTTCCATTGACAAATCTTACTAATACATTTATGATTCTTTTCAGTCTATCGCCGAGTTTCGATGAGAGGCCACATTACACTACGCAGTCTTGTGTAAGGTGAGGGAAGATGAGGGCGGATACTAGAAGTCTACGTGTGGGAATGGGTAGGAGATGGCGGAAGCGATGGAAGAGTTTCAGAGTAGAAAATGAACGTCGGGATATGTGAGAAATATGGTGATTCCAGGAGAAGTTTTGGTCTATGAAAATGCCGAAGTTTTTAACTGAGGAGCTGAAGGTGATGGGATGGTCATTTAGATACATGAGAGGGATGTTGGTATGGGATCTGAGAAGAGGTTTGGAACAAATGACAATGGCTTGAGTTTTAGCAGCGTTTAACCCTAATCCATTTACATTTGCCCAGGCACAGATCCGATTTAGGTCTTCTTGTATTTCGGAAACGCATCATGCCGCTCAGAGGAAGCGAAGGAAAGGAAAATTTGGGAATCATCGGCATAAAGGTGATGAATGGGAACATTGAAGGATTGATTTATGAAGGTCATTAATATTAGAACTAAAACGGAGAGGAGATATGCTAGAGCCCTGTGCCATTCATGAGGACAGAGTTGGATAGGGAGATAAAGATTTGTTAGGAATACGTTGAGAGAGGAAATATTGAAACCAAACGATAGAGCTGTTGTAAAAGGATAACGATTTTAATTTGGAGAAAAAGATGGAATGGTTAATGGTATCAAAGGCTTTGAAAAAGTCAAGTAGTACAAGGACTATTTTGTATTTCCCCATTAAAATAATTATGAAGCCGCTTTACTGCTGCCAGAATTTCTGATGGTGTTGGCTCAGTGTTGCGACTTTGATCAGGGTTTTCACCATCTGGTGGAATCTTTTTAGACTGATCGCAACTAGATCATGTCAATACTTCTTTAGAGGAATTTTGAGCCTCAAACACTGAGTTTACCGCACCTCCTGTGAAATAATAGTTTCCATTTAGCACAATATAAAATATTTTTCTCAGCCTACAGTAATGTACAGTATATACAGCCTATTATGTAGGATTGATGTAAATTATAGTAATCTACGATGTTCATTACGTAATGTACAATGTACGAAGATTTTTGTTCATTATCATGAATCCAATAAGGAGATTAAAAAAAAAAAATTAAAAAGAAAATTATTTCATCTATCTCATTGATCCAACTCGTTTATATTATATTTCCCTTGTTCACTGACCAATAAACTGTGCGAATTATTCGCACGGGCCAACTACTTGTTGTTTAGGGCATAGAGGCGTAAAACCCCGAGGTCAGCAACGCCTATCTAATCTTCATTTCAATGAATTCAGTAATAAATTATTATGGAAAGAAAAAAAAAAAACTCAAATTTAAATGTTGTTTAGTAAATCTTCATCTTAAGGAAAATTTAACACCGATTTTATTTTAACTTCGTCACTATTTATAACTACTGATAATTTTGATAGTCCCAATTTGGTTAGAACCAATACCCTATAAGGACACTCTTGGAAAATGTGACCGACTGTTAGAATAGCGAAGTAATGTTGGTATTATAGAGCAGGCTGTTTTTTTATCAAATAGAAATGTGTCAGATTTATATGTCCTATCCTTAGTCTAGTTAAGACGACATCTTCTGTAGGAATAGGTTGGTTCGAGATGGACCATGATTTCACTGATCTTCTTATTTCATTAAATTTGCTTGGTGGACTCTCATTCCACATGGATTACCAGCCAAGAGCTATTTCTTTTTTGAGAGGAAGAGTTGTGTCCTGAGGTGTTAATATGGCGCCGACCTGGGAGGGTGAGTGCATTCTTAGCTGCCCCGTCGTCCACGTGCTCATTTCCAGTGATCCCCAAGTGGCCTTTCACCCATATAAAATATATTGACTTTTTTAAAATTTTCTGGCATGTTTAAATAAACATGGATTTTTGAAATAGTCAGATCTCTCGGATATATAGCATTAATGCCTTTTAAAGAACTTATTGAATCTGTTATTATTACTATTGTTTTGGTGGTAATATACATGGAAAGATGAGGTTTGAGGTTATTGCGTGAAGTTCAACTGTATATACATTACACAATTTATGTAGTTTTATTTTATGGGTGGAATCGCAAGTAATAAAAGAAGAAGCTGTGGATTTTTAGGATTTTGATCCATCGGTACGGATTAGAAAAGTTTCCGGGATTTAATAAAGAGGAGAGAGGTTTTGTATTCAGAAGGCGTGGATTTGTTTTTCGGTAATTATGGTAAGTTTAATATTGTTTTTGTGGTAACTGTTTAAGAAATACAGTAGCTGAGTTAATTCTTTCTGATAAAGGAAGGATTGAATTTGACTTCTTTTCAAAAACTTTGGAGAATTTTTGCTTGGAAATATGCCTATGTTTCGGCTAATTGATCTGAGGGTATCATTTAGAAGTATAATTAATGCCTATTTTTTTTTCTTCTAAATAGAAGAATGATTCTCCTGCTTCAGAACACATACTGAGAATGTGGCTAGTTCGAAACGCGCCAATCGCAATACCTGATAGAGGTACTGCATCAAATTTATTAAGAATCCGAAAGCGTGCAGAACCGCAGATAAAACTTCCATAATCCAGCTTTAAGCATATTAATGTTCGATATAGTTTTAGGAGGTAGCTGTAGGTAAGACATACCTTAGCCTTTTTGTTTGGATGTCAACGAAAGCTGTTCATCTGGAGGTGGTGTCGCCATTGGAAGCTGGTGCACTTCTAGCAGCTCTCGACCGTTTTATCACACGAAGAGGAAAGCCAGTGTACCTATACTCCGACTGTGTTATAAACTCTGTAGGAGCCTCGAGAAAATTAAAGGAGGTTAGGCAATGGTTCACTTCCCCGTCCTAACAAAACCAAATTTAAGACCACACTACGGAAAAGTCTATCGAGTGGTCCTTCATACCACCATCAACACCCCACTTTGGTGGCATTTGGGAAGTAGGAATCAAGGCTGCCCAAGCTTTAATGTACAGAATTATTGGCGAGACTCCCCTCACATTTGAAGAACTTATTACACTTTTTGTTAGGATTGAAGCAGTACTCAACTCTCGTCCGTTGACGCCTATCAGTGCTGATCCTGATTGCCTCGATGTTTTAATACCCGGGCATTTTTTAGTTGGAAGAGCACTTGCTGCAGCTCCTGAATAGGATCTCTGCTGAAAATATAAGTCCTTTATCGGTGGGGACTGATAAAACAATGACTGATAAAAGGTCAAAAAACTTTTGGAAGCGCTGGAGAAATGAATACTTGAGCCAGTTACAACAAAGGAAAAAGTGGAAAAACCACCAGCGAAACCTTAAAAAACTTAGCCATCTTGAAAGATCGCAACTATCCTGAACGGTTCCCCAGTTTTAATTAATGAAAGACAAAACATTGTTTTTTGGTAATTAAACACTTCACATTGAGGCTAAACTCATATTTGTACAGTACTTCTTTCCGTCTTATTCACTTTCATAGTGCAGTGGTTAGAACTCTTTTCTATTCTGGTGAAGTAACCCGGTTCGTGACTGTGTAACCACTTTCCTACCATTTTACTATTATAAAATATAATTTAAATTTATATTCATATATATAAATATTTCTGTAATACATTTTAATAGTCCTAAATTGGTTCAACATTTAAGTTGAATTAATTTGTATTATATTATTATAATTGATTAAAACACACATAAACATTTTAAATCTAATTCTAAGGTTTCCTTTTTTTTTTTTTTTGTTAAATGATCTTTAGGATAATTTTGTTTCTTTCATTATTATTTTTTAGTAGCAGAAGTATTTTTAATTTACGGATTACCATCATAATAAGAAACATGTTAACGTTCCTTCTGGAAATGCAGTGAAGTCCAGAGAGACTCAGCAAGACATCTCGGGTGAGCAGTGCCTTGGCTGAAAGGTATACCTGATGATCTTCTGTAGTTGAGTACCTGGGTGTAGACCCACTCTAGAAGCATCTTCAAGGGTACAAACTGCGAAGTTGATCAAAATTTAGTTTGAAACTTGCAGTCCGTGTAGCGGGCGCCAGTTAACGAATCGGAGGCAGTGAAGACTTTATAACTAATATTTTTATTCGTAATGTCTGTTACAAATGGCATCTTAAAATACAGAGTAATACCACGAATATATGGGTTGACTACAAGAGTTCACTCAAGGTGTCCCACAAGATTGTGACTTCAAGAATGTAACTGCAAGAGTGATTAATCCAGAGGATCATGGGGTTTATATACTCAGGAATAGTAGGGGTGTGTATCAATTCTGGGAAGTCTATGAAGCGTTTGAAAGAAGTTATTAACTATTAAGAATTGATATCCTTATCCTTTAGAATTGATATGAAGTCTGTGAGAAAGAGACCTTTTGCTGAAATCTGTTATTGTTCTCTAAGTTTCGATAATGGATCTTGTGTTCAGTCAGTACATTCTAGATAACTATTTCTAAGCTATCAGAGATAGCTTGACCTGGCTATCTAGGGATAACTTTGTCCCTCTATCCCTTGAATCATGAGAGCTGTCATGATTAATGACAGCTCTCATCGTACTAATTGTACGATTAGTTAATGAGTTAATCGTACAATTCGCAATTTGACTTCATTGTCACTGTCTTCGGTCGGATAATGTAAAGTACGACCGAAGACAGTGACGATGAAGTCAAATTGCGAATTGTACGATTAACTCGAATGGGTTTATAGTTACGGAACGGACTTAATCCGTAACAAATAATAATAATATTAATTTAACTTTTATTTTAATAATCGAGTTTGTTAAATGCGCCAATTGGTGACTCATGTATTGTATCTTAAAATACAGAGTAATACTACGAATATATGGGTTGACTACAACAGTTCACTCAAGGTGTCCCACAAGATTGTGACTTCAAGAATGTAAATTAATTAAATTAAAAAGAAAATTAATTAAATTAAAAACTTGTTTTCATCAACTGGAATATTTTAATTTAAAAGTTTTCTTTATACTCTTTGATTTTCAGATAATGATTGTAAGGACTTTACTGATAGCCTACCTAATTGGTTTAGTCAGATCAGATGAACTTGATAATCTTGTAGAGGATGTACTCGGGAAGCCAAAAGACGAATCTTGTACTTGTGTCCCTTTCTACCAGTGTCGGGATGGGAAGATTAATACTGACGGTACAGGAATTATAAGTCTCAGGTAAATTTGTATTGATACTATAAATTGTCTGCTATGTATTGTAAGGACTTGGAATATATTTAATTATTGCCAATGTATAAATACATTCTAAATAATGATTGCTAACACATGTCCGGTTACCTGAGGGAGAGTGGCGACACCCTAGAGAGTGCAACCTTTTCTGAGGGACAATAAAACACCAAAGGACCGACACCGGTCTTACGTGGGCATGTTTGGAGAGGATCGGAAGGCTTGTCTAAGCAAGGGAGGGAACAGAAACACCTTCCAGAAAGAGGAAACAGCCGTACGGCCTGGAGGTGTGGTCATCCCTTATGCTACAATAATTCAAACAATGAGAACCATTCTTGCCCCACCCTAAATACTTTTATAAAATCTATAAAATAAGAAGGAAGAAAATTGGTCTTATGTCGATCTCCGGCCTGGTAAAACAATTTGAGCTAAAAATACTGACCCGTTATTAAATAATACGTGTTTAGTCAATTGTAAAAAATCTTTGTTACGTTCTTTTGAGCGAACGGCTGAATCGGTATTAAAGTTTGATGGTCTAATTATTCGGTGAGATTCCGTGAGTGTTTTGAAATAATTTGACCTCAAAATTCTGTCAAATAACTGTCTAAAGTGTTTAATCAATCCGATAAAAGACACGTAAAGATTTTTTGAGCGGATGGCATGAACGATTTTTAACTTTGACGGCTGTAATTACTCAGTTAAATCCCATGAATGTTTTGAAACAATTTGAGCTCATAATACTAAAAAAAAAGTTTATTACTTTATTACAGTTGAAGTTTCTCGATTACTAATTGTTTTGAAATAAAAGGAACCCGACTACAACAACTAGTTTAAATATTCGTAGATGTCAATTTCTCAATCTACAGAGGATTAGAGATAGAAATAATAAGATAAGAGATTACCTTATTATTTATTTATCAGACAACTGTTTCTTATTTAATATCTACTTAGAATTTATTTATTTTATTTTCACCGTGTACCTTTTATATTTTTTAGTCCTAATGGAGACCTGCAAGGTGGGTCGAAACGTCGGCGCGTCGATTAAAAATACAATTTTTTAAAAAACTTATTATTTATTTGACCGCACCTCCTCGACCAACTCTTTCTGATATTATATCACGGTCAACCATCTCTACACCATTAAAATATTTTTAATATAAAACACTCGAAGAGTAGTGAAAAATTCATTTGGACTGCTAACAAGTGTATTTCGTGTCACCACTGCCAGAAGTTGACAATATTGAATTCGGTACATCCACGTCCAATAAAAAAACTCAAGCAAACCGTTTCCCTTTCTTCCCAGGATCTCCCACTCTTTTATGGCTGAAGTTTTTTGCGCTCGCAATGAAATGCTAAATGCATATACTTGATTTTTTTTTTTTTTTTTACCTCTATCAAAGTACAATTATATTTTCCTATTTAAATAAATTAGCCGTTTATAAATAAGCCAGTTATTTTTACCTCCATCACCTTACAATAATTATATTAATCAAATAATTGTTTTAAGTGTTTAACTTTTTATTCGGCGTTTTCATCATCCCATAATTCGGGAGAATAATTGTAATCGTCAATACCAGAAGTAGTTTTTTCGTTCGTTCACTTTACAAGCTTCGTGTTGCCCTATTTTGCCGTCTACAAGCCGCAACGATCCGTTGTCTGATGGATAGACGACGATACTGTTTCACAAGTCGAATCATCTGGAGAGGTGACGCAACCGACAGGCAACAACGGTCAACTTGTAACATGCGTCAAGGAGACATATTTTTTGTCGCTTTCTGTTCCTTATATGGAAAGACTGTGTATCAATGCCGCATGCTACATGTTGCCTAAAATTTGCCTCAGTGGAATTCCACCTTAACTTTGCCAAAAAATAATTTCTGTTAAAATTAGAACTGTAAATTGAAAGTTGTTTGAAGCGCGCACCAGATTTTTAATATGAATATAACTTATATTATGTAGTTTAATTGTTTTAAAAATATTTACAGAATGGGAACCATTTGTAAAGATTATATAGAGGTATGTTGCAAAACTCCAACAGAAGATATTATTTTGCCAAAACACGTAGAAAGGAAGGGATGTGGGCAACGACATCCTGATGGTGTTGGATTCAAAGTAACAGAAAACAACAACAATGAGGCACAATTCGGCGAATTTCCTTGGATGGTAAAAAGTTTTCACCTTTGTACCTGCTTATTTGCTATTTTTCTTTTGATATTTGTATGTATGTTCTCTGGCCAGTCTGTTCTCATCAGTCTGGCCAGAGACAGCAACCAGTCAACATATCTCTGTGTTATTAAGTATTCTATTTTGTTAAAATTACTTTGATTTCTGCCGTTTTTTTTTTTCTTTTTAATATTTTTTATTAAAAGAAATTATAGACATTTCATATTTCCTCTCTACTCATCGAAAAGTAAAAGTATCGAAGTTTTTATACTATTGCGAGCTACGGGACAGTGGTAAACAACTGAGCTCTAGAGGATTAAGCGCAGCTGTTGCTATTACGCATCATAACAACCCGGCTTGTTATTGTAAGTACGATCTATTTACTAAATAACAATATGGCACAATGCCCGCTATGCAGCAGCACCATCAGCCGAGAAGAGAAAAATATTTTATGTTGTGTTAAATGCAAACTTTTATTTCACAGCAGGTGCGGTAAACTCAGTGATAAAGAGTTTGAAGCTCAAAAATCCTCAAAAAAAGGATGGATATGCGCTAGTTGCGATCAGCCTAAAAAGATTCCACCAGGTGGTGAAAACCCAGATCAAAGTCACAATACTGAGCCTACACCATCAGAAATTCTGGCAGCAGTAAAGCGGCTAGATATTTTTTTCAACCAGGAATTAAAAAATATTAAAGTAGCGCTAGACAAGTACGGAGATCTGAGCTTCGAAGTAAACACTAGGCTATCTAAAATTGAAAACCACTTAGAGGGACAATCTAAGAAGCTTGAAGAAATAATTTCAGAAAATAAAGCCCTCAAATCTAAAGTCGGTGAACTGGAGGTCAGGCTGAATAAAGCCGAACAGGGCTTGCTTAGTAGATCGCTCGAGATACGGGGCATCCCGGTTCGAGCAGGTGAGACCCCCGCAGCCCTGGTTACAAGTATTGGGGCCGGTCTGGGAATTAAAATCAATGTCGAAGATATAGATACTGTGCTGCGCCGAAGAGCAAGAAAAGATGACCCTCGACCACCGCCTATAATCGCGAAATTCGTCAGGCAGTCAGTGAGAGACGACCTGGTGCAGAAGCGAAAAGTAAAAAGGGACTTCTCGACGCGGGAAATCGGTTGGCAGGAAAATGACTGCCACCGTATTTATCTCAGCGAGGAAATGACCCCGACGAACAGGTACCTCTACTGGCTCGCTCGGCAGAAGAAATCAGCAGGGAAAATAAAATATATATGGTTCTCCGGCGGCAGACTGCGGTGTCGAAAGGATGACGGTCATCAGGTTGTCTTTATCGACCAGAGTCAAGACCTAGACGTCTTCGGCTGACTCTTCGATCCCTGTTTACTCCTCAACATCGATAAACAATTTGGCTTAGTTCACAGGACTTACACTGAAAATCTGAAATGTATGTTATGTTACTACCGGAAATTTTTGATTAATTTATTTCTATTGATTATTGCATTCAAAATTTTTTTTCTTTTTAATGGTTTTTTTTCTTATATTTTTATTTTTACATTATTTCATCTAATGTATCATATCCGATCCAGCGTCTGCTCACCAAATTCTGACTTTATTTTCCTCAAGCCTAATCATGTCTAGCATCCTTAATACCTGTCACGTCAACTCCCAATCCCTCCCAGCCCACTATGATGAATTCCTTGAATACTTTACCCATAATTGTTACCATATCATTGCAATTTCCGAAACCTGGCTCAAGCCTTACATCCCTTCCTCATCTGTTTCCCTTCCTAACTACACACTAATCCGCCACGACCGGACGAGCCGGACTGGCGGAGGTGTAGCGTTGTATGTTCACGAATGCATGAAGACCCGAATACTCCACTGCTCTCCACCATCCGATCACCCACATGTAGAGTTCCTAATCGCTGAAATTTCCTTTGATACATCTCCTATCCTTTATGTCGTAGTGTATAGACCTCCTCTTGTTCCCTTTGATCCATCATTTGAATCATCCCTCTTCAACTTTGTTCCTCTTTATACCAAAATAATCATCTCCGGAGACCTAAACACTAATTTCCTTTCCGATTCCAGCGATAAATCATACCTCGAAAACCTTTTTTTCTCTCTTCATCTTTTCATTGTTCCTTTTTCGCCCACTCATCACACCCCCAGGTCCGATACCTGGTTGGACCATTACATTATCGACTCCGCTCAGAACCTCCTTTCCTCCTCACAAGTACCGGTCTCCTTTTTATCCTCTCATGACCTAATTCAAATTTCATATAATATCCATACTCCTCCGATCCTACCTAGAACCATAACTTTCCGTAATATTGATGTTCTCACTCGTGAAAAAATCTTACCCTACCTGGAAACCCTTGATTGGAATGGAATATATTCCTGTTCATGTATTGACGCTATGGTTGATATTTTAACTTCCAACCTCCGTAATATCCTTGATTCCCATGCTCCCATCAAAACCTCTACCTTTCGTCGCCCCCCTGCTCCCTGGATGTGTCAGCAAATTAAAGATCTTCAGAAGAGACGCGATGCAGCCCGCAGACGCTTTAGACGCACTAGACTCGCTGACGACTACCAAGCGTTTAGGGTGCTCCGTAACCTGACACAAACCAATATCCGAAGAGCCAAATCCTCCTATTTCCACGAAGCCCTTTCAGCAGCTCCTGATTCCAAAACCAAATGGCAACTCCTTCGTAAACTCTCCCTCTGTGACTCTTCCAGATCACCTTCCTCAGCAGCCTTTCCAGTCAAACCTGATGATTTAAATTCATAT